TTACACAAGAACAGAGATCTCTTGATGTACTCTCATTGACTATGCTTGATTGCCACTGGTTAGTGCTAATGTTTTATAACACAAGAGTATCGGTTGAAAGATTGGGAAGTGAGATTCGGCGACTATGGATTTCAAATTTGTAAAACGGATATGCAAATAATGGAATGGATCAAGAAGGAACATAAGTTTGTTACAATCGTTAATACTATGCATGCGGAAGAATGTATCACATTGCCAAGTTTTGTCAAATTTGGCTAGCATCACAAAAAGTATGGCCCATACAACGACGACCGTTCAACAACATGGAGGGGACAAAATATGAAGAAGTTGAAGAATAAGTTTAAGGAAACAAAAATCATCAATAAACTTATTTTGTGGCCTTACGAGTTTCACAAAGCAACGAAAAGTTGATTTGAAAAAAATAATGATTGGAAATTTGAAATCTTGCAGCATTTTATATTGTTAGTCAGATAGCAAAAAGCCGCATTCTCTAAATTTATCCACTCTATTAGGGACGTGATAGTATTGCAAGATCTACTTTCCAAATCGCAAATCCAAGAACCAGAATATGACATCTTGTGTTGTAACAATTTTTACAAGATTGCCAAGGACGTTGTTGTGCACTTGGTTAGAGGGTGTGATTTATTTTTTGCGATGTCATTTGAGAGCTTGTCTCACGCTGAGTAAAATGTTATGGTTTAATCTGTTGCAAACCTAGTTGTTAGTATGGAATCAAGGATATATTTGATTGAATTTGAAGAGGATGATAATAATGCACCAACAACATCTTTACCTCCATATCTTTCTTGCAAATTTGAAACTATGCTTGCATTAAGTTTTGTGGATTTTAAATTTTGATCTCGCATTGAAAAAAAATTCAGCAACAAGTACATTGACGCTATAGAACAAACAAACAAAAAAAAGTGAATTGCTTATCAAATAGAATATGTCATGCTCTATAACGCGAATGACGTTAAAATCCTAAGTTTTAGCAAACATGCAATATCTTAGATTTTCACATAAAATAGTTGTTTATTTTCTTTCTTCATATGTCTTGTAGCAATCTTGCATATCAGTATTCCTTCGGATTTCATCTAATTTACGTTAAATGCACTCTAGAGCAAACCGCTATAGTTTTGTTCCCACAAAGATCTATTGTTTTCTTCTAAACTCTATATAAACCTCTCCCACATTTCCGGAAGCTGTACCTTTTGGATGTTACATTGATCCGTACTATTCCAAATCCGGATGACTGAACCTTTTTGCCAGAGTTTTAAACAAGTGGCTAGGACCACTAATCGGTTGATTTAGAGTGGCTAGTTTCACCACTGACCAATATATTTCTAGTGAGCGGACCCTCATTGCCCCGTATGTTTTAAGTGATTAGACATTCACTATCTCCTAACCCGCTACCCGATAGTTTTGTAGTTGCGCTTGATCTACTCTCACATCATTTAAGTGGTACTCCGACCCGGATGCGGTCACTTAGAATGAGTCCTGACTACAACAACATTCTAGCTAAGGTGTACTGAATTTACTAAGTGATTCTCGAGAAATCTTTCCAGGATTAAATTCTAGACCTACTCACAAGCTTTTGCCCCTTTGATGGGAGAATTCCAGCCTTAGCTCAGAAGCTGGAACATGACCAATCATGCCCTAGAGACCACAAGAAACATCTTGCAATGTGTCTCCTCTTCTCCATGCTACTTCGGACTTCCGGATCGCACCAGGTTCTCTTGCCTGCATCTGCCTCGAGCAGCTCCAACGATCTACTGCTATCAGTTCTAACCGACTCTACTCCAAAATTATCTACAAGATAATAAACAAAGTAGAAGAAATACAACATTCCACCACAATGGATCTTGCCGCAAGACTCATGTCTTGCATCATGTCACAAAAGAACCACTTTTCTTTGCTAGTTGGAAAGAACACGAACTCCACACAGAAAACAATATAGTAAACTACTAAGCCGCTTGGCTCTAAGTACTAATTTTCTACCTATCATTATCCCCAAAGTCTCGGTGAAAAATCTTGTATATCTCGGACCTGAGTCATGATTTTCAGATGGAGAATCAAAAATTCCAGATTCGGGTTTCCAAGTGGTTCTAGAAACTTCCTTCTGGATACTTCAAAACTAACTGCCTGACAAAATCCTAGTTCTACCTAACCTTAGCCAGTAGCCAGGTGTGACATTGGGCCCATCGTTAATTGCTTACTGGAGTAAGGTAAAAAAAACATCTTAGTCATTAAGGTTAATTACACCTGTCAAAGTTCCACTAAGGTTCATGAGGCAATGGTTCCGGTGCTGAGGTGATTCATTCACTGGACTGACCGGAGAAGTCACCTCTGATACTACTCCAATAGTTCACTCGGCCTTCTCCCTCCGAATGTCACCGTTCCCGCCGTTTTCACTGGAGCCTCCCTATATATTGTAACCATACTTTAGCCGTTATTTGAGCTTAATGAACTTCGCGGTACACCTAACCCCTAATTGTACACTACTAATCTAATTCTAGCCTAATACTACATAACCTAGTACTACTTCATTTCTTTTGTCTGGTTTGTTGGTACAAATATTGGAACTGTGTGGGAACCGGTTCCCACATGTCTTCAACTTGTTCTCCGATTATGTGAGAAACAAAAGATTTTGAAAAGCGAGGAGAGCAAAATGACTTGCATGTTGATAAATATCCGAGTATGTATACTGAAAGATGCAATAAAAAAAAGTGCATAATGTGAATGACGTAAATAACTAAGTTCTAGTAAACATGCAAAATCCTAGATTCTCACATGATATAAAAGTTTTTTTTTCTCTTCATATGTCTCCAACTTGTTCATTGATTATGTGGAAACCAAAAGGTTTTGAAAAGAAAGTAGAGCAAAATGACTGACATGTGAACAAATCTTAAGAGAAAAAGTTGTCCGATTTATGGAGTATATAAAGTATGAAGATATAATTTAAGAAACTATCAAGCATTATATGATGGCATCAAGGATCCTTAAGTACACAATATACTTCTATATATAGAAGTATCATGAAATTCGTAAACTGATCTCATAAATTCACCATACCAATGCAGAGTAGTAATGTTTAGATTGTCTCTCGCGCTTGTTGAATGAGATTGGAGGTGAAGTCATCAAAAGAATGTTGTATGGCAAGAAGAGTAAGGAGAAGAAGGTATCACATAAGAGTATGGATAATATTTTAAAAAAAGTCGAGTTATTAAGAAAATGCAATTGGTTGATCATCCAGTATAAAAGAGCAAATTGCACAATAACTTGGTTGTTTATATGATGTATAGTTGGCATGTAGTCAATATATTAATAGGAGAAAAAAATACCAAATTATGCAACAATAAGATGGGATTATTCCATCAAGCATTATTTGATGTGATAATACGGGTAGTAAAAACTCCAGCAAATTGGTAAACCTAAACTAGATCCAATAACATCACCACAATTAATAGACATGATGTATAATGCACGTGGTGTATATATCTATATATATAGATTTATTTAAAAAGTAACCAATAACATATAGGGAAAAATATGTTCAACTTAGTCTAAGATATATGGATTGCATAATTTATGCTTATTATAAGGAACAAAACATCACATTACTCGATTGCAATCATATGTATACACTAAATAGTGATATTTATAAGTTAATTCAATTTTGAATATATATGTTACACAAGAAATAAAAGAAATTGACATCCATGCTTCATGATTCGAGAATTTCTTCTGACTTCTTTCATTGATTGTCTGAGGCAAGATTCAAAACTCCATGTAACTCTAACACGATAGTAACAAAAACGTGATATCTTTTCCTGCCCAAGCACATGCCGCTACATTCACCGTCCATCTTGGCGAATGAATGAGCTTTTCGGGATGCTTTGTCTTTACATGGTGCAAACGACCGAAAATGACTTTACTCACACGAACATCCGATAGGCATATTGTGTCGGAAATCTTAAAGCCAATTTGGACGCTTCTTTTGATTATCTACAACATTCGAAGTTACAAAAAATAGAATCTTTGGGGGGATAATTCTGGAGGCAGCAACCTTTTGCATTTACCAGTACTAAAATTGAGCATAATCTGATTGTCTGTTGATTTTAGAAGAATACACCAGAAGTGTAGAGAGTAACATGGCATGCGTTTCATCTCCAAGACACAAGCCTCAGAGATGGTTTCATGAAACGGGGAGCATATTGCGGAAGAGCACATACGAGACGAGATTCAGATAATTCGGAGGTTCTGAGGACCTCAGACTGGTCGAGCTGATTCGACCTCGGCTGGCCCATGGCACACATCCCAACTCCATTACATAGCATTCCACTCGGACCTTGGTTTGGGCTTTTCAACGCTGAATCACTCAAAAGCTTTTGGCAGTGACAGAATGTCGGGCTAAATTTTCGCACGCAACAGGAGTCAGATGAATAATGAGGAGCTTTCTGTCGTTAATTCCAACCCTAATCGAGGTTCGAGGATCGAAAGTTTTGGATTGGCGGGGGATGGAGGGAGAGAGAGAGAGAGAGAGATAAGAGATCAGAATTAGGGGATGGTCGGAACAAGGCAATCGAGTCAGGAAAACGGCTTAGGGAGTAAAGGCGAAAGGGGAGAAGCAGATTGTCGATGGAGATGAACTTGCTGGTGTGCCCACGAGGGGCCGGAAATAGGTGGGCACAGCATAGGCACGTAGTGATTCCGGGCCCTGCTCTCTCTCTGTCGCTCGCGCGGGGCTAGCTTGGGCTAGAAGGGGCCTGGACCCGGGCGGAAATCCGATCCGGGAGGGGGAGGGGGTAGGGGAAAACCCTAAAGAAAAGGAGGAGGGTGGGGGGGGGGGGGAGATCGCGGGTGGGCACGTCAGCGCAGATAGCCGACTTTTGGCAAAGGCTCCGACCGCACGTGAACTGGCGTCATTGCAGTAGCAGCGGCAGCGTGGGATATAGACAACTGGGTACGAGGGGGGCGAGATCGGGCACCCTATATCGGGTATGCAAAGCAGGGGGCTGGGGCTCGATGGCGCGGATGCGCTCTGCCGATTCGCCCCGACGGTTATGATTGGCACCATCGCGCATGCGGCAGGGGCCAAAGCAATCCGTTCCCTCGTCGAGTCTGTCGTGACGCGCGGGGGATATCGCCCCGCCAGCCAGCCAGCACCGCATCGCATCGCCTCGCCTTGCCACGTCCCTTGCCCCCTCCCCTCCCCCCTCCCCCCTCCCCTGGCAGCTCAGCAAAGCAGCGAATCGCAGCCCCCTCTGAAAGCGAGCGAGATGGCACGAGGGGCAAGAAGCCCCCGACGACGGGAAAGCAAGCGGGCCTTCCATCCATCCACCCCTCGTACCCCCTCCCGAGGGCGAGACGCGACAGCGCGAGCCCTAGGGAAAGGGGACGGGGAAGAAAAGAAGCGGTGCGCCGGGAGGCAGCAGACAGAGGAAAAGAACAAGTGTTAGCCACCCGCAGCAGAAGAAGCACCAGCAGCGGCAGCAGCAGCAGGGAGCATTAGCAGCAAGGGAGGGAAACACGCGTGCTCGCACGCCCAGCTAGCAGCCAGCTCCTGCACATCAGGCTCAGCGGCAGGGGGCAGCAGCAGCCACCAGCAAGCAAGCCAGCCAGCCCCCGCTTCTGTTGCAAATATTTTCGCTCGACATCGTCGTCCGTCTTTTTCTTGACACTTTGTTCCCTTCTCTCTCATCTCCTCTCTCTCTCTCTCCCCGTGTCCGAGCCCGTCCATGCCTGGCCACACCTCTCCTCTCGCTCGTTCGCGAAGCTAATCCCTCGCTCTCGCTCGGCCTCGCCGTGCACCCGTTTATCGCGATAGGCACACCTCTGGCTCTCACTGTCTGTATGCGGATGTGCCTGTCGTCGAGAAGAGTTGGCAGTCGCTCTCGGTCCTGAGGAAGCGGACGAGCGTGGTCGTTCGTTCTTGTACCGTAGTTGCAGACGAAGCGGAAGGGGAAGCGGAAGCGGAAGCAGGCACGGGTGCCGGTCGCCATTCTCGAGGCGAAGAGAGTTGGGTATCGACGATGAGTCGTCGTTGGTGCGTGTCGGATTTCACGGCGCTCTCGTCTTGCGCTCTCGGACGCGGGAGCTGTCACGGTCACGGCCGCGATTGATGATGCGTGCGCGCACTGGCACCGCAAGGGTATGTATGTATGTCTTGGGAGGGCGACGTTTTTGATTCTTTCGTGGCCATTTACTCTTCGGTGCTTGCGGGGGCGGGGGCGGGGGGCATCGTCGTCAGGGGTGTCGGTCGTACACGCTCTCGTAGGTATGCGTCGCATGAAGGAATCTCTGGCCCATCGACCTCTTGTGACGGCACTCACGTGAAGCGTAGCTGTGAATTTGGGAGGTCAGAGTGCGTGCTGCTGCCGGTCATGCGCTTGATCCCAGAGTACAGCAGCTCCGGACGTCAATGTCCCGGATGGCAGGCTGGACTCTCTGATTGCGCTCGCGCCTGAAGGAGAGCAGCTTATCGGTCTAGTGGCGCATATGGCATGTTGACCGTGAAGGAAGAAGAAGAAGAAGAAGCATCGTCATCTTTTTTTACAGCGGTCCAAGAGTAGCAGGAAATGCGGAATGGGAGAAAATCATGGCCGCTTTCCTGTCGACTAAGTATGTAGAGTGTGCGTGGTGTCCTCCTAATGCTCTAGTGCGGGCACAGCCACAGCAGCAGCAGGTTGGATAGGCACCAGCCCTGGGAAGAAGAGGAAGGGGAGGCTGAAGCGTGGGAAACATGAAGGTCGAGCGCATGCCTGCCTGTGTCAGAAGGATACACGCTGACGGGACTTCGATGTATCGTCGGTGCTGCCACTCTGTGCTGCTTCTGGCTCAGTAGCCTCGAGGAAAGGAAAGGAAAGGAAAGGAAGGGAAGGGAAGGGAAGGGAAAGGAAAGGTAGGGACGGGAAGGGAAGGGAGCTCGCTTCATCGTAGTGAGTATCTAGACGCAGGGGCTCAGTGGAAGGGCCGAACCAGCAGGCCAGGAGATGCTTTGAAATGAGGGGGAGCATGGCCAACAACTCACACAATCACAATGTGGGGCCGGCCATTGGACCGACTGCTCGTGACCGATCTCCCGACGCTCCGGTACTTCTCGCCCCTCATCTGCACAACGTCGTTTTCGTGGCTCTGTCGAGTAGATTCTGTGCAGGGTCCATGGTCGAATCTTGTCCACCCTATGCTGCTGCTGGAGTCGGGCAAGACCACACTTTAGGAAGTCCGGGGCCGGTCCCTCCTTTTGCGCCCATTTGTACCTCTTCCTTTGTAATCTAGGTTCTGTGAAGCTTCTTTGCTGCCTTGCCTTGCCTTGCCTTCATGCGCATTCCAGTGGTCGCTCGCATGTTGCTGGTAAATTGCATGCCGTCTGCGTTACAGCGCTTGCCTTGAAAAACCATGGAATCTCCGGGCGATGGTGCTGCTGGAACGGAGGGGAGTGCCGTCTCGAGCTTTCTCTGCCAATCCATCGTCAAGGACCTGCTGCCTGTCAACTCGGGCTTGTGTCCTTCCTAGTAGGGTTGAAAAGGGTGCGTGCGTTGCACGGCGTTGAATTATCCGTCGTCCTGTCACTGCACAGAACAGAACAGAGCAGAGCAGAGCAAAATAGAGCCTCGGTGCGTGGAGCTCGTCGTGGGCACGAATTCTCATCCTGCACAACCGTCCAGCTTTAGACTGGGGCTGGGCTGGGCTGGGCTGGGCTGCTTTGATATCTTTGATCGTTGTGAGGGTCATGTGGACTCACTTTCTGCCTGGTCCAAATTTCATCGTGAACAGATGGGTCGCAGTGGATGCTGTGGAGGATTTCTGCGGTTAGGCACTCGGAAGAGGGGGAAGAGGATAGTGCCGGCCACGCGGATGCATGACGGGAGTGCTTCGTCGTCGCGCGTGTGGGCCACCAATGGGGCGCCGCAGTCGGGCGGAGGAAATCAGTATGCATCTCTCTCCCCTTCCCTGCTCGCTCCCCCCTCGTCTCCTGCATCGTTCCAGAACTCGGCAGTTCAGTCATCGGCCCAGTCGCCGGCCACGTTCTCCGTGTCGCTGTCCGTGCCCTCGGCGACGTCGCAGATCCCTCTGGAGACGACGGCCACCATGTTTCAGATGGGCCCTTACGCCCACGAGACAGCGCTGGTCTCGCCCCCGGTCTTCTCCACCTTCACCACCGCCCCGTCCACCGCGCCCTTCACGCCTCCGCCCGAGCTCGCCACCCATGTCACCACGCCGAGCTCGCCCGACGTCCCGTTCGCCCAATTGCTGGCCAATTCGTTCGGCCAGAAGGGCTCGGTGCGCCAGCAGCCCCCGCCCACGTACTCGGCGTCCCCGTTTGCGTCCCCGGACATCTTCGCAGCCGATGATCTGCAGGCCGCTTACCAGCTCTATCCTGGCAGCCCCTTAGCGCATCTGCTGTCGCCGACCTCCGGCACGGGCCAGTCCACTCCGTTGGAGCTGGAGCTCTCGTCGCAGTCGTCGCCCTTCCCAGACCTCGAGAATCCTGTGCAGGCCGTGGCCACCATGTTCTTCCCCGGCTCGCCCCTCCTGGCTCTGGAGCCCGCGGCCTCCATGGAGGTGGATGTGGAGTCCCTGCTTCTGTCGCAGGCCTTGAACCATTCCTCGTTCCAGGAGTTCCGCCTGGAGGAGAAGCAGTCGTCGTCCTCGTCCAAGTCGGTCCTGGGTCTGGAGCGGGGCGTCGATGGTTCATCGAACACCGAGGCCGTCTCGGGTGCACGAGACTCCGATGATGGCTCGCCGAAAGTTGTGCTCCCGAGCGCCTGCCCGGGCTCCGGGAACCCTCTGGAGCTGGAGAGAGAGACGCGACCCGACGGCGTCGAGGGCCGAGACAGAGGTTTTGCAGAGCAGGAGGAGGCTGATCTTTTTGCGTTGTTGGAGGCCGACGATCGGTCGTCGTCCGGAGCCTCTGAACTTGCAGACTGGAAGAGGAGTCAGAGTAGTGTGGACTGCGAGGCGAAAGAGATCTTGGCGGGCAAAGTGCCTCGTATGGATGGCCCTGGCAATGAAGATGAAGAGGCCTTTGTAAACACCGAAAGGAAATTCATGGAGTCCCCGTCGAGGTATTGTTATCAAGGTAGTGAAGACACATCAGCTCCAACATCGCTGGCCGATGAACCGGGAGTCGCTGAAGCAAGTAACATGAAAGCATCTCTGACCCCCGAGATTAGAGTCCAACATGAATCTGAGCTAAGTAGGAGCAGCAGGCATTCTACTCTAGAATCTGGACATGCGGCCAGATCATTGCACGGCGAAGGCTGTGCTGACTGTGACAGGAACCGAGATGTGTGGGCTGCATCATCGAGGAGTTCCTCTGATGCTGGAGCCCCACAACAGCAAACTCTCACAGGTCAGAAGCTTGATGAACAATCAGTTTGTGGTGGGCAGAACAGGAAAGATTGCTGCGGTAGATGTGATGAGCTGGAGACTAGATGTGATGAACTGACTAAAGCATTGAAGCAGGCTACGCAGAAACTGGCTGGTATTGAAGTCAAAGAAAAGGTAGCAGTCTACAGAGAGCAGCAATTGAAAGCGCTTTTTCATTGGCTGCAATCAGGGGTAATGCAGCACACTCTCACTCTTTTTCAAGATTCTCCTTCTGTTGATGGTCCATATCACTCTTCCTTCATCAACTCCGCACCGGATTTGTTGCCAGTAGGTTTTAGCGCCACGACATGCCCTGTCAAGACTTCTCCGAAGTATCGAGGATGTCATGGAGAATGTCAGAAAATAGATACTTGGGTCTTCATTCTATTCACTGCAATGCAGTTTTAAGCCTTTGGATTCAGACTCAAAGTGTGTTCGGGTGTATCTGCCTGTCTTCCTTTGCAGAAAATAACGACTGTGTCCTTGATGTAGAGTTATGTGTAGAAGCCAACTCCCAAGCCAACTCTATCGTAGAGTATATGGTCTATCGATAATTCTCGTACCACAGAAGTTCTGGCTTTTATTCCACTCTGGTAGAATTGGCGATGTTCGCGCCTTGAAATCAGATTAATTACCGGAGAGCTTGCACATAGGCACGTTGTCTGCGTCCGAAATCGTCCTGGCTTAGTGCGTCATGGCATGGAATAAGGCCTAATTAATTTGGATCACTGTCAATGCAGGCGCAGTCACACCAAAAGTGTGTCGATGGTATGTCTGATCAATTGTTAGAGTTGCGAGGTGCGAACACGGACCAAGTGCCCGGGCGATCAACTCTGATAGGTAGTAATATTTCAGGTACATGCGACAGTTCCAATGAGGCGGAGTGTATCGCCTCCAATCTAATTATTTTGGAGACCAAGATAAAGAACATTGTTGAGGACAATATCTCTACAGGCGATGCAGGTTTAAGGTCTGAGAACCTATTGGCGATCAGCATACTGAATGCCGACCCCTCTTACTCAATGCAAGGTTCCTTCTCGAGCTGACCGGCAACAGTAGACCAGGCAAAGCTCTGACTCTGAAATGTGTTGAAGCATTTTGGTACGCTAGGCTGACCGAAGGAGAAGGCAGTTCTCATCACAATTGGAGCAGAATACGTCCTATTTCTATTATCAGAAAGGGAAAAGTTGAAAGAAAACAATGTCTCTTTCGGTCGGAGCTGGATAGGTAGAGTATATTACATGGTAATCCTGGAAAGAGTTATGTATGCTCATCAATAATGGCTTTGGTACAAATATCAGTACCATTTGTTTACAAGGTTTCCCGCTGCTAGCAGCCCACAGATAGTACGTAATGCTTTGTTGTCTGGTTTGGATCTTTCAAGACGCTTCTTGGTGTCCTTCAACGGAGAAGCACCAGTCTACCTTCGAGGTTGTCAACAGAACTGTTATTGAGGGTTATCCAGTGATGAAGAGGATCATGTAAGAAAATGTTTCTATATATGAACCTGTCAATATAATTTCAGCTTCTTAAATGGCGCATTTGGCAAGCACCTTGACAAATCCAGGTCCTTTGGACTATGCAGGGACTTGCTGTGTTTGTATATTGATAGTGATCGATTTGAACAGCAGCCTCTCCAAAGCTCATTGACCCTTGTTAGCAGTACGCACGGTTTTCCTCCGTGTTTCCATGTGGTACACTGCCGTTTGGTTTGTCGTGTAACGGTGGTCAAAGTCTCCGCAATTTGACGATCCTGACGGGGATTCTTTGATCCCTCTAGTCTGTCTACGCTCTCCTTCAGTTTAGTCACGCGGAGGACCGCAACTAGCCTTCGACTTAGTGTGTCTGCAAAGTGGGATCCAGTGTAGAGGTGGTAGCGTGAACCGAGAATGGAAATTGCCCTCAGACAGGCACCGGCTGAAAACAAAATGGACACTTCTCTATCCAAGGCACTACTAAATCGAGACAAGTTTTCAGCAGGGTGCAAATTAAACTTCCAATGCCGGTCACAGAAGAAGGGAAGCAATCTGACTAAGAATCAGAAGGAACATTGGGAAAGACAAGGAAGGAAGGCCATGTCTTCAATTCTCAGCCTTGATGGAAATGAAGGTCCCACTACTTAACGGTCGGGCCCTCCGGACTCTCATGGTTCCAGGTGACATGACAAAACCGTTTCCAAGCTCGAACGAAATCTCGGTGCTGCGGTGAACGAAGTTCCGAGTGAAACATCGCACTAACGGACAACGGAGTGCGACGATCTGAAGAGAATAGATCAAGTTATAGCTTCAAAAGCCGTCAACGATGTTCATGGCTGTAGTGTGCAGACCAACCTTGTGCGCATATGAGGCTAAACTAAGACGGATCTGTGCGACGGGTTGAGACAAATCGACCAAACGTGTGAACCGGACGCAATTTCCATGTCACAAGAAGCGACCTTTAGCGGGGACCTGATGACCCTGAACATCATTCTAGCGGATGAGACACATCTTCCAGTCGCAGAAGGAACATACTGGCGTATGCCACCTCATACATGACTGGCCAAAAAAACGCCCGGCCCATGCTGCAGGAAGCAGGATATAGAAAGGAGCTCGCGGAGAAACTTGCTTTACCTGTTCATGACTTATTGTGCTCGGACAGTAGATATCAGAAAGTTTTTGGAGCTTGCTTTTAGACCAAGGCGAACCCTGCACTACAGGTAGGTTCATGATACCCCATCCTTCCCTGTCTCAAAGATGACGTGTAGAAATTTGGCTGTGGCCCAGGCTGTGTCATTCTTGCAGCCGATTCTCCTCTCTCGTGATTCAGCTGATTGAGCCACAGAAAGTCGGGTCACAAGAATGTGCCAAATTCTTTGAAATGAAAAGCTTCTGGAATGCTGAAGTTCTAGACTGCCTGGACCTGTGAGTGATATTGGTGACATCTGCCATCAACATTAGGTTTGTCCACTGATGAATACGGGGTTGGGGAAATGTGTGCGTCTCCCTCCAGAATTTATTCCTATCGAGTGATGACTTATAGTAGAGACAAGTGTGTAATTATGCCTCATGATGTACTCTGATGCTCTATAAAATGTACTCCATACGCACATATGACCGAAGAGCTTGTGTAAAGCAAAGATGTGCTCTTTACATGTTGAAATACTGTTTTGAATGAATGATTGAATGTTCATAAGATGAAGCAACACAACATGTCGGAAAAAGCAGCCGGTATCTTTTAAGTACCCATGCCACCCAACACGTTGTCATGCCAGGCTATGCTACGCCAATATTACGATAGAAACACGACATATTCCACAAGACCCACAAGAGTGACGAAGAAAGTATCTGTGTCCGTCTGTCCTGCTCGCTTGCCAGGGTTATGTCCAGTGCTTGTACCGCAGGTGATAAGCAGCACGTTACTATTCTCAATACAGTACTGCCTGCAGTCAGGATAAAGAAAGACGACGAGGAAAAACAATGAGTTTCGACATACCATGAATTGATTGCTTACTAACCAGTACCTATAGCACGTTAAACACTTAATCTATTAATACCACCTCAACTTGCACTTCGTTTTATGTTAGAAAACACATTTGCATATTGCAATCGTCCTGTGACACGTTGAATAACAGTTCTCTCTCTCTCCAAAGAATGCTATTGGTAGTACTTGCTTTTCTCACCAATAGCTTACATCAAGTACATCGAGGACAGTACTACGGTTGATAGAATATTCGATATTTATTGATGCAAGTGGTTGTCCTTGTGGATCATGTTTGAAATCCTTCAACAATTAAAGTTGTTAGACATGGTAATGCAGGGGCTAGACTAGTGGCAAGACTTCCACCATTTCTCGCTCCAAGCAATACTGGATGGAGGACACATACATGGATAGTATACTTTGCATTGAACACTTTTTAGATGTACATAACCTATTCTCCATAACACAGCTCATTGCACGGTTAAAACAATCATCTCAAATTTATGCTGCAGTTGTTTGTCACGACTCTTTCTTTCCATAATCACTTCGGGATGCAAGTGAGTGTAGACGGGGGCAAGTGTAGATGTTTTCCAACAAATTTTTTGGCCGAAAATCCATACCCTTGGGTGAATTTAATTAGCTTCTATAATGTTAAGATCCATGTCTGATCGTAATCCACTTAACTTTTGGTGCGTAATCTTAATCCTATCCACAATTGTTTTGCTTTGCAATATCTCGAATAGTGAAGTGTGAAGAGAGTGAATCTGCTGACATCAAGATTTTTAACACGTATGTAACATTATCCTGTATCAAGTTTGGTTAGGAGAAATATATTCATGAACTTTGGGAACAAATACTTTATCTTTTATGTCTTTATATGTCTATACCTTAGTTAAGTAATCATTGCCCATTACTTTTTTTTTTGACATTAACATATAAATCCACTTAACTTTTGGTGCGTAATTCTAATCCTATCCACAATTGTTTTGCTTTGCAATATCTCGAATGCTGAAGTGTGAAGAGTGAATCTGCTGACATCAAGATTTTTATTTTGGTCTGCCAGTTAAAAATGGTTGATAAAAAATCTCATAAACAATTTCCTTTTCTTCTAGAATGTCTTCCTTTTCAAAGATTGGATCAGGTGTACAAAATTCATCTGTATTTTTCTTGCAATATGGAAAGGAGTAAAGAAGACAGTTCCAACTATATTCTTCCTAGTTATAGAACTAGGGGTACTTCAGTTTGAAAACTTACTATTTTTCATTAACAAAAATTTATGTAGATACTTTATGAATTTTTTTATATGCATTTGATTACTTTGACCGAGAAATGTAGGCTGTTTGTCGGTGCTTTATATTTTAGAAACTAACATAATAGCAAAAAGTGAATCTTTGTTCATTTGAAAAAAAATTACAATCTGATTATATATGAAACCCAAAACTTCATATGAAAGATATGTTTAAAAAAATAAAATTATTTTGCATCAAAAAATAAAATAACATTTATGAGCTTTTTTCTATATGTTAAGGATGTTTTTGACATGGGTTACATGCATAACACTTTATACTTGATTTATGAAACCCACTATATATATCTTTATTTTAACCTTTCTTAATTTACATCTTGATAGTAAGTAAAAATCATATCAAAATAACATGAAAAATAAGTCTTACATCTCAAATCAGAAAAGGGAAAAAAAACGTTCCAAAATCTGAGTTTCTATCACTTGGGTTGAAAAGTCGATAAACTCTAGGTAACTCATGATTTCAGGAGTAGAATATGTTAAAAGAGTAGAACCACTTAGGTTTCTCAAAATGCTTACCATGTTGGATTTTTGGAATCAAAAGAAATAAGATATCAATATGTTAAGATATCAAAATATTCATAATTTTGTACTTGTATCGGGTGAATCCATTATGCTCTCCGATTCTTTGGCATGTATCTAGCTATCATTTGTTCGACGAGTCCTATGATAACCTTGTATCATCATTAGTTTTCAAAACAAGAAACTAACATTTTGGGGAAAAAAAATATAAAGATACTTTTATTTCCCCGACATAAATTAACAAAACTATTCCGTTGTACCCATGACGGTGCCAAGTCGTGTCAGACTCCTCCTTCTAGTATATATAGTTGTCACCATATCGGATAAGGGTTGTAAAGGACCACTCACTGATTCTCCTTTATAGCACATTCTTCGCTTCTATCGCACACAAAAACCGTTTAGAAGGATTTATAAGCCAAGACCAAGTATGAGTATAAATCACTCTCGGGATCATACCTCATCTTGAGCCCAGCTCGCCAAGTACAGTCAAATTGCTGTCGCAGGGATGTTCCAGATATGTAGAATTTGGTGCACATTCCAAAAACACCCCAGGGAATGATGGTCGTTTGAGAACATGAACATGAATACAACCGACATGGAAGCACCCCACCAAGACAAGCAAAGCATAATTCTGAGCGAGTAATACAGCAAGGGAGTGAGTATTCTATGGATGTTCTGTGCCAGCATCTCCCTTGGGAAATCGTCCCAGTCACCGGTATGACATTCGGAGGTCGAAGCGAGGGCGTTTCCCTTTGACTGTGTGATTCTAATTTGCACAAAAGTCACGGTCGTCCATCGCTCACTCTTCTGGACCGAGCTGGAGGCCGTCGTCGAGAGCCAGTCCGCTGGAATGGTGTCGTGGAGAAGTGCCGTACCTTTTTGGAGTCCTGGCGAGAGGATCGGGATCGAAATTTGACCTCGACCCGTGCTGACAGACAAAACTCTCCCGCGCATATCCTGAGAGGCTGAGAGAATTCCATGCCTCACACAAATTGCTTCGGGCAGAAAGGGAAGTCTTGGAGACTACTATCGTAAAAGAACTGTAACAACATGATTCCCATAACTCCGTCCCGACAAAGACATGGCAGCCCGAACTTCATTCGTTCCACAGTTCGTGTGTGTCTTTTCCACCATTAAGATCTACTTTCATAACTTGTGGGGTAAACAAGGAAGATACATCCCCAATCGATGTGCACATTGAAATGAGAGCCAACACAAAGTACACTATGCATCTGCACACATGA